TATGATCAAATCAAATTTTGCCTGCCAGAGAAGTCGGCTTTTCAAAATAAATTTGAGGTCAGTTCAATCCAATGTTTGAAGAGGAGGCCTGTGGGAGGTGAAAAACCATCCCGGTTCACATTGTAACTTTGGAATTTTGATTGTCTGATTTGGGTCAACGTGGGTTGAGGGTGGGACTATTTATAGATCCAGTATAGTTTGCAATCAAGCATTACCTTAAAACAAACAAAAGACTTAGCTGGTAGGTGTATGCAGGAGTGACTGCTAAAGAAATAGGAAAACAAAAAACTTGTTATTGTGGAAACTTTCAAATATATATTTAAAAAGTAGTAAGCCTAATATAAAAACTCAGCTTCAACTCGTGGCCAATTCTGTGAGAAATACGGACGTTGAGCCAGATGACAGAGAGAATGAACTTTTCAGGTCAGGACATTTGGGTTATCCTACTGAGCCTACAGGATCCAAGTTTCTGCAAAAATGCCCCAGACTAGAGCCTAGAGCAAGAAGAGAAGGGCAGAGAAACATTAGTGCTGGTTAACAACCACAGAAGAAACCTGGGACTTAATAAACAAAATAATATCTCTATATATCTCACTCTCTCGTCTCTGTCTGTCTCTGAAGGAGATACCATGCACCAGTAATAGTAACAGTGGTTGCCTTTAAGGACTGAAAGGACTAGCAAGGAGATTCCCTTTTCCTGCTACATGCTTTTGTTTTTTAATATATTTTATTGATTTCAGAGAGGAAGGGAGAGGGAGAGAGAGAAAGAGAAACATCAATGATGAGAGAATCATTGATCGGCTGCCTCCTGCACGCCCCCTCCTGAGGATTGAGCCCACAACCTGGGCATGTGCCCCTGATCAGAATCAAACCTGGGACCTTTCAGCCCACAGGCCAATGCTCTATCCACTGAGCCAAACCAGCTAGCACCCTACTACATGTTTTTAAAAGTTTTGTGCTAGGTGAATATATTACCTATTTTTTAACGTAACTTGCTAAAGACAAACATCATTAAGTTTTGCAGTAACCAAGTCCACTAGGAATGGCAAAAGGGCAAACTGCCTGCACTTGGACCACCAGATCTTCACCATATTTTGACCTGTCTTAGAGCAATTTGCTTAGCTAGATGAATGTACAACTTTCTAATTCCAAACTGTACACCATCAAGAGAGATATTTCACATAAAAAAAAAACAAAACCCAAAACAAAAACCAGCCCTCAATGGCTACATGGGTATATACATTTGTCAAAATTTCACCACACTGTACTCTTAGGATTTGTACACTTTACTGTATGTTCACTATACTACAATCCAATAAAGTATTATTAACAATCTCAGCCTTTGTGTACAAACAAGGCAAAGAATTTGGGGGGTTATTGGGTTGGCGGTTCACAGAAAGCTGTTGTTTTGGGAAAACAACACAATGAGGACGTTTTGCAAAAAGTTGCTCTTTGGAAAGCGCCACTACAGCATGTGCTTTTGGTTAAGCATTCCACGGCTGGAACGCAACTCCATGCTGAAATGCCGAGAAGATGAGGCAAAATCTTGGCCAAGGTCAAGCTCTGCTGATGGCTGAGTGGGGATGGCAGCCAACTGCTCTGCACTTGAATAACATTTAAAAAAGAAAAACTAACCCGGAGTCATCTTCTCTTCCTTTTCTGAGCCAACTTTAGCCCTGCTCGTTGTATCCAAGAACTCCGAGGAAGCCATATGGGCTGCAGCGCAGGCCTGCCCATCCTCCCGGGCCAAAGAGACAGATCTTGATTAAAAAGAAACTAAGCCAACTGACTGAGGCTCCAGTTGGCCTATGGGATATAACGAAGATGTCTGAATTTTGGATAAAGTTAGGGTCCCTGTAGGAGAGGGCGGAGAAAAACACATTAGCGTCCCTTCAGGCTCTCTGGTCACTGTTTCTGGAATAACAATCAATCTGGTAGAAAATGGGGCTCACTGGTTGTGTAGGTGATTACTGTCACAAGAGCTTCAAGTTTAGCATACTTGTCAGACATCACAGCACACCAGGACACCGCACACTCTCTGGATAGAAAATAAGCCCAAGGATGGACTGGAAATGTCTTTTCTGTCAGGTCGGAGGGAATGGATACAGAGGGAAATGTCTTTCAGCAGCTTATAAAATGCGAACTTTATAATTTGCACATGACTGTCGAGCCTGGCAAAGGTCAGCAGGACAAGTCCAAGGCGAGTCAGGGTTATACAAAACGCAGGTCCCAGACACTGCCCAGCCTCCCTGTGAGTTCATGTCTTAGAATTCATGATGGATAACAATGTGTTAACAGTGTGGGCCCCTCAAATTTTCTTAAGTAATCATGACGACATAAAAAAAGAGAATATTTTTAACTTATTGGCTTACTACTTTCCCTTTAAAGTCCCCAATTCTACCCAATTCTCTGTATACAGTATATACTTAATTTCTCCTATCCTTAAAATGAGAAGCAGTCACTCTTTTTTCTCAGTATCCTCCCATCTATAATACTTGGAAAGCTTGCCTCATTTCCATTCTGCACTTATCTCTTATTAAACCTTATAGCACTAGTAAGGTGGCTGACAATAAAGATTTCTCTTCTTTCTTTACTGTTAAATAGTGAACTGAGTAGAAATGCGAGTTCCCTAAGGCCACACACACAGCACAGCTTGGTGAGAGGAGCATTTTGATCCTAGGGGGAGCACCAGATGGAGGCAGCAGGCACTCCCCAGTCAGTGAGGCCAGGAGGACATGGTGTGGCATCCTGCTTCCCTCCCTCCCTCCTTTCCATGCACAGTCTCCGTTCCCAGGGCTGGGGGCGGGAGGAGAGTATGCAAGGAGGCAGAAGACTCACATCACCCCTGGGAAAGCGCCACATAAAGAAGCAGTGGGATGAACTACTAAGCAGTGGGATGATGCTACAGCTAAGAAGGCCCTAATAGCACATTTAATTCCAACTCCTAATTTTACTGGTAAATAAAGGAGCCCAGAAAAGTTAAGTGATTGGTCCAAAGATACCCAGCAATGGCCAGACCCAGAGCCCAGGTCACCAGCTCACCCCTCAGATCCTCCACCTCATGACAGAACTGAGTATAGAAAAGAGCAAAATATAAAGCCCATGAACTGTACTCCCATCACCACCACCAAATAAACGTGCCTCTTTTAAAACAACCCACGTCTCAATCTCCCATTTCTTTGCATCCCATTAGCTCACTAAGCTCAAATTTCTGATTCCTCCCTGGGATTTCATCGAGACCCTGACAGCCTGAGTAGTCAGGAGCCCAACTGTGCCCAGCATGATGCAGCCTGAGAAGGGAGATCTTTGCGAAGCAGGAGTAGAATATAAGTAGCCTCTTCAACTCAGGAATATTGTAGACCACACGTCATGCTTATAATAATGCCGACTCTAAACTCAGCAGCTTTTGAAGTTTACGCTGGCAGAAAGGCAACGGGCGACCCATTTAGCAAGAGAGCAAAATCTAAGAATGAATAACCAATAAGGAAGGAGGACGATGCTTTGAGTTCAGTCTGGAGTGTGTGCAATTAACCACTCCATTCAAGAGAACGATCTTCAAGGCAGTGTGCCCCACATTAGAAGAGGGACAAACCAGGATGCATGAACCAGGTCCTTGACACTCCCTGTGTGCAAATGAAGTCAGTTCTTGATTCTCCCCCAGCGATACCCATTTGTTCCCGTCACCCAGTGTCTAGGGACCTCCAATGGGTTGTCTGCAGACAGCTGATGAGTAGGAAACAACGGGCTGATGTACTTCCAACCTTCCCAAAAAATGTACTGGGATTTAAGCAAGGGCCTTGGTGCCTCAAGCAAAACTGCTCCAGGACTAGGGACAGGCAGAAGGTATTAGGCTCCAGCATGAGGAGGCAACATTGGTGCATACCTGAAAATTATAACAGTTCTAAACTAAAAATATTTGGGGGATTATGTATTATTTTTATGTTATGATCAAGAGTTAATCATAACAAGAATCATTCTTTTTTAAAAAATGTATTCTATTGATTTTTTACAGAGAGGAAGGGAGAGGTATAGAGAGTTAGAAACATTGATGAGAGAGAAACATCGATCAGCTGCCTCCTGCACACTCCCCACTAGGGACGTGCCTGCAACCAGAACCAAACCCGGGACCCTCTAGTCCGCAGGCCGAGGCTCCATCCACTGAGCCAAACCAGTCAGGGCAAGAATCATTCTTATACCTTCTCATCCAAAAAAAAACACAACCAAACAAACTAAAAAAACAAAAACAAACTGGTTCTCACTGTTTTCCTAAGGGATTAGGTACTCTAAAAATGACCCTCTGCACAACAGAAGAGACAAAAGATCAGAAAGAGGAATTCTTTAAAAATATATAATAATTAGTAAGTAGCAAACTGAGAAACTATCTCCTTTAAAAATAAAAAGTAAGCCCTAACCAGTTTGGCTCAGTGGATAGAGCGTTGGCCTGTGGACTCAGGGGTCCTGGGTTCGATTCCCGTTAGGGGCATGTGCCTTGGTTGCAGGCACATACCCAGTGGGGAATGTGCAGGAGGCAGCTCACTGATGTTTCTCTCTCATCAATGTTTCGAACTCTTTGTCCCTCTCCCTTCCTCTCTGTGGAGGATCAATAAAATATCTTTTTAAAAAATAATTAAAAAAAATAAAAAGTGATACCTCTCATGAGGATGAGACATAATGAAAAAAAAGGGGGGGGGGTAAATGAATGAGTAAAAAACTCAGAGGGGCAAGGTAAACTAAGAATTTAAATTATAGTCAAATGTTAGAGCCCGAACTAACAGGCAGAACAGGAAGCTGAACAAAAAAGCTCCTTCTGCCTGCTGGGTTCCTAAGAGTCTAAAATGAGGGATTAAAATGGCTTTATTTCAACAGAACACATTTTGTCATCTGATCTCTGTCCGTGACAGGGGTGAGAATAAGTAACTTATGTCTGCACTCTTAAGAAGCAACAAATCCCTGAATATTACACTTTGTTCACTTTCAGATAGTAAATCACCAATTGCTTGTCTAGCAGAAAAAAAAAAATCTGTTTTATTTTAAAATAAAAACTTTCATTTTATTTTTACATTTTTATTTTCAAACAAGCAGTTTTTCCAAAAACCATTGACTGCAAAGGGCAAATGAGGTGATGGAGAGCAGGACACAGAGGGAAGCAGAGAAAGGACTCTGACCGGAACATGCAGAGAGGCCCTTGCTGGGAACTGTCCTCTGACCGCTACTCACAGAGAAGCTCCGCAAATGCACTGGAACATGAGCCACAGGGTCAAAGAGAAGCAGTCCCTTAATACACATCCCTAGAGATGCTTTCAACTTGTACTCACACCAGCAATGTGAGTCCCCTCCTCACGATCCAATCTCTAGGGTTCTATTCTAATGAAATTATTAAAGACATAGGCAAAGATTTATACATAAGAAAGTTCACCACAGCGTCACTGATATTAACTAACAAAGAACCTGAAATAACCAAAATTTTTAAGTATGGGAATGGATAGCTAAAGTCAGGTAGAACCACGAGAGATCTACTTTCCAATATTGAAAGATACAGGAAATTAGTTACTTGTGATACCATGTTAAGTGAGGGGGGGGGGGGAATAGGATACCCAGCTGTATATATGTATGACTCTCAACTTGGTTTAAATACATATATTACATGCATTTTTATATACCAAAAGGAAACTCATAAATATATCAGCAAAGGTTAGCTCTGTTCCAGATGGAGGTAAGATGGATTATTTTTATTCTTTTTTCAGACTCATCTATAATAAACAAACATTACTTTTGTATCAGAAAAAAACAGTAAGTATTTATGGTATGCCTATTCTAAAATATCTCATTTAAAACATCTCATTTAAAATAGCAATTGTCAGCCTTAGGGAAAGGCTGCTAAAGTCCAAGGCTGACTATCCCTGGCCAGTGTGGCTCAGCTGGTTGGGCATCTTCCCATGGACAGAAGGGTTGCAGGTTCAATTCCCAGGCAGGGCACATGCCTGGGCTGTAGGCTTGATCCCTGGTGGGGGGTGTGCAGGAGGCAGTCGATCAATGTTTCTTTCTCTCTCTTTCCATTCCTCTCTCTCTAAAAATCTTTAAAAGTAAAGTCCAAAGTTGACTCAGTGAACAAAAGACTCAAATGTACACAGTAACTTCTGAAAAGGATGAGACACCTCGTGTGCCACAGTCTAGCTTCCTCCTCTACCATGGCTGCTGGCTCTGTTACTGGGCTTTGCAGGAAGCTCTGCTGGGGACCTCATTTCTTCTTCTCACAGCAACCACTGCACCTTACGGTAATTGGCCTGTACCTTAATTGACCTGTACGAGTCTCTTACCTCTGAGCATGAGGATCACAAGGGAAGAAAACGCAAGAGTCCTAATCCCTGTTTCAGAGGAAGTTTTTCTTATAAAGCTATCAAAATGACCCCAAATAAGGTACATGCATTTTTTAAAATCTATTTTTATTGATTTCAGAGAGGAAGGGAGAGGGAGAGAGAGATAAACATCAATGATGAGAGGGAATCACTGATCTGCTGCCTCCTGCATGCCTCCCTACTGGGAATTGAGCCCACAACCTGGGCATGTGCCATTGACCGGGATCGAACCCAGGACCCTTCAGTCCGCAGGCCGACACTCTATCCACTGAGCCAAACCGACTAGGGCTAAGGTCCATACATTTTGAAACATAAATCTTGAGTTGTGTTCAGGAACCATGTATAAAAGTCTCTTCTCAAGAAGGAATATATAACAAAATCTTTGAGTGCCACCTTGTGGCAAGTCTGACTACTGCATGACCACTTGTCCGTCTCCATGAGCTTCATGCAATATGGTCTGAGACACAGGCCCCATAATGACCTAAGGCATTGAACATATGGTCCCCACAGTGCCTGGTACTATTCATTTTTAAGGATTTCTAGCTTAGATCCCAGAAATGCCTTTTTGAGGACAAGTTGGAATGAAGGGGCAGAGGAACAACATGTAAGATGTGCATGTGTGTCTGTGGGTTGCTGTTGACCTGCCAAAGCTGCACTGTGTGTGTGTGTGTATCCATCCATGCCCACATACGATGGTACTTCCACATGGACGACTATCTCTTCCCCCAAGAATGTTTACCAACTTTATAAAGTTATGAAGAAAAAAGTTTTACAGTTACAGTCCGTAAGTTTTGTGCTTAGAAGTTTTATTTATCAGAGCAACCATCACCAACTTGGGCACAATTCCCAAGTTGATTTCATGCTTAAAGTGGTGACCTCACATTTTGAAAGAAAAAAACACCACTATTTTAAAATCTAAACACATAAGTTAATCTCAGTGTTCCAGGCATGGGGGGAGGTGGAGAGATCCTCACTGCAACCAATTGTCTCCAGGAGACAATTAAGTGCTGGAAAGAGGTCAGTACTGCAAATTGATGGAAACAGAACTCTGGAGGGACCAGATACTGATTCTGAGAAAAGATCATCTTCCGCCCAGGAAGGGATTAAGCTAAAAGCCTTGCAGTTATGGGCAGGAGGATGGTAACCAGCAGACAATGAACAGCATGAGAGGAAAAGCACAGCAACTTATCAAAGTTCCCTGGGGAGATGGTGCTGAGGCTTCTCTCTGCCACACCTGGTGGGAGGCCTGTTTCTAGAAAACGACTCCCTCTAGTGTTAGTGTGGAAGCAAGGTAAGGACATTGTCGCTTTGGTCCTTGACATGTCGAGGGGAGCAAGCTCAAGTGTGTGAAATCAACTGAAGTGATTCAGTTGGCAATGGATCCCAAACAGATGCATTGTGGGAGAGCATAAGCCAAAGAATGTGTAATTATGAGGCTGAATTGGGAAAATTCATCTGAACCCTTGATCGCCTCTCCAACCCCCCGAAGAACTTTTTCTCCCCTCCTAGCCTGACGGGATTGAAATGCTTAGCCCGTTTGAGATAACTCAATATACTGAACAGGGAAGAAATGTATTAAAAAACCTGAGAGTCCTGACAAGTCACTTCAGGGAGAATCCTTCATTTCCCATCTGCACAGGGAAAGCAGAAGAGGAAGAGTAAAATAAATCCAAGACCCTCCTTGTCCACAAAAATAAAATAAAATGGAGGGGAAAAATAGAATTTTCATTCTGCCCAACTAAAATTTAAAACCATAAGCTCCCCTTAAAACAAGAGCCATGCTCCATCCACCAGAAGCATTCTGGGATCGGTATGGGTTAGTATTCAGAGTTGTGTCACAGGCTTTGACAATTAACAACGTATTAAAACGGGAAGAGGTGACGGTTCCACCTTGGCTCCAGCTCCCCAGCTGTCCTCACCTGGGAGGAAAGCCGCTATCACGACAGCTTGATGGGAAGGTCTTCCCCGTATTTCTGGAGCAGCTTCTGATGGTTGTGGTCCACTGACCACTGCTGGGGCAGGTGCTTGGGCTGCATGGAGTCCAGGAAGTGCTGACGCCAGCGGCTCTCCAGCTGCATGAGGGAGCGCAGCCCACCCCGGCTATGGCACTGCACCACCTTCAGCCCATGAGGAATGTAGTTTTCATTGGAAATCCTGCCAAGATACAAACGTACACAGGGTCTGAGGGAAATGGGCACAGGACGGTCTCACAGACGGCCCCAAATGCTGTGGGCCACGGGGCTTCCGAAGTGTGAGGGAGGCTGCTAGACGCCTAACGGGGGCTACTTTAATGTCTATGAAACAGCCTTTCTCATATATGCCTTTTTTTTTTTTTTAAGTTTGGGCATGTTGCCCACAATTCAACGGAGAGCATTTGGGGATTCAGAGCTGAACTGGAGGGAAAACCAATGCATCGTGCTCAGCCACTTTAGAGGGCCTCCTGTCTGGCTGATGAGGGTGGAGAATGCTGGCCCTGTACGTACTCCAGGGTGCTCAGTCACCAGCTCACGCCTCTTTCAAGTTATTCATCCTGAACCATGCCCAGTGTTTATATGAGGCTGTTAAACCAGGCTGTTAACCTGTGTTCCAGTTTCTCATACAGTGTCATACCTTCAGTCCACAGGCCGACGCTCTATCCATTGAGCCAAACCACCTACGGCTACAGTGTAATACCTGAATGTAAAATGCAAGCGGAGGCATTTCTTTAGGGCCCTCCTCCTCACAAAAGGAATGCCAAATCACATCCATGTAAGTATCACATCATGAGAAGCATCACATCATGGGAAGTATCACATCTATGACAAGTATCACATCCTGAGAAGTGCTTTAGTCACAGTGAAATGCTGCGGTGGCTTGCTGTGCAGCTGGTGTTATTTTTTTTAATATATTTTATTTTATTTTGTTTGTTTGTTTGTTTTGGTGGGTTTTCTTGCTGGTGATGTTTAATAGGAAAACAAATCCCTGCCTCCTTCCCAGCTAGGCTGAGGGGCCTAAAAACCTGCTCTGAAACCAGGTGAACAGTGTTTTCACCTCCTCTGAATAAAGATCTCCTTTCTCAGGGGTTCCCTGCCCCGCAGACGCAGCTCCTCTCCCTGCGCCCACGCCCCTCTCATCCTCCTCCCAAGACCCCACCAGTCTAGCAGCATCAGTGCCTTCTGAGTATTTCTAGACATTGTACTAGTTAGCTCCCGAGCAACCCACTAACTAGTCTGTCTTTTCCCAAAACAGCTGTTCTCCTTGGTCCTAGACATCCAAGTCAGCAAGATAAATACTAGAAAGGTCTGTGGCTGAAAGGGGAAGTTTGGTGGCTTTAGGAAATACATTTGGGAATTGGTTAAAAGAGCCAGTGTCACTAATTTCTAATATGACCTTGGCAAGTTACTTAATTTTAATCTCAGGGTATCTAATATGAAATTTGGAAAACAACATGTATTCTATAACCTTAACAAGGATAAAATTCAGTAATAAATTTTTTTAAACTCTGATTTTTTTAAAATTAAGATATAATGTTAGTTACCAGTAAGAAGCCTAAATCCTGCCTCATAGGGTCTGTTAGAAGAAATAAAGCAAGTTATATAAAGGTTAGTAGCCTGCTAGATAAATATATCTATAAATATTTGTTCAATAAATATTTGCTGCTATAGTTAAAGTATTTTGGGGGTTTTTATGACAAAAACTGGGTGGGGGATTCCCTCAGCCCAGCCTGCACCCTCTCTAATTGGGGACCCCTGGGATTGGGCCTAAACCGGCAGTCAGACATCCCTCCCGAAATCTGGGACCACTGGCTCCTAACGGCTCACCTGCCTGCCTGCCTGATCGCCCCTAACCACTCTGCCTGCCTGCCTGATTGCCCCTAACTCCTTTGCCTGCTTGCCTGATGGCCCCTAACCCCTTTGCCTGCTTGCCTGATGGCCCCTAACCTTTCTGCCTGCCTGCCTCATCACACCTAACTGCTCTCCTCTGCAGACCTGATCGCCCCCAACTGCCTCTGCCTCAGCCCCAACACCATGGCTTTGTCCAGAAGGAAGCCGGATGTCCGGAAGATGGCCGGTCGACCCGGTCTAATTAGCATATTACCCTTTTATTAGTATAGATTATATAGGATAGGATTGCTTAAATGGGGGGGGGCTTTTTTAGCAGGAGGAGATGCTCTTTGCAGACAAAAATACATAATCCCTATATCTGGACTGATAGCCAGCCATATGCACTATACTGCCAAACTGGTTATTAAAAAATTGAACCGCGCCCTAGCTGGTTTGGCTCGGTGGATAGAGTGTCAGTTTGTAGACTGAAGGGTCCCAGGTTCAATTCCAGTCAAGGGCATGTACCTTGGTTGCAGGCACATCCCCAGTAGGGGGTGTGCAGGAAGCAGCTGATCAATGTTTCTCTCTCATCGATGTTCCTAACTCTCTCTCTCCCTTCCTCTCTGTAAAAAAAACAATAAAATATTTTTAAAAATTGAACCTCTTTCTTACACCTTACACCAAACAGCTGTTGCCCTTAAAGCCCCTCCTCAGCCCTCACCTTAGGTTCTGCCTTCCCAGTTCACCCAGATTAGGTTCTGATTGGTCAGTTTCTATGCCAGTCAGCATCAAAAGCTCCACCTCCTAGGCAGCCATTGGCTCTTTGCAGTTCACCCAGATTTGGTTCTGATTGGTTGGTTTCTATGCCAGTCAGCGTCAAAAACTCCACCTCCTAGGCAGCCATTGGCTCTTCTGGGAAATCCAGAACGCTGACAGCTGTCTTTCTCTCTGAGTCTATCTCTGGACCTGATTCGCAGCAGCTGCTGATCAGGCCCCACATCTCTCTTTCTCCAGGCCTTGCCAGTAGCCCCCGCGGCTGCTGATCAGGACCTGGCTCTGCCTCCAGGCCTCTCTCTAGGCCTGATCCACAGCTGCTATGGCAGCGGTGAGGTCATTAGGCATCCTGCCCGGCCCTGGGAGGCTAATGACCTCGCCATGCCTGCCTCACCCCACCCACCACTCCGCTGCCCTGGCCGCCCACCTGCCACCAGCCTTGTGGGCTGCAGAGGAGGACCAAGAGGTGCTCCATGCACTTCCTGGTGACTGGTCGTCTGTCTGGTTGTTTAGGTCCTGACGGCCCTAGGCTATTATTAGTAAAGATATTACAGGCAACCAGCATCACTAACAGGGTCTTGTGAACTTCAGTTCAATTATTTCAACCCCTAGGACTTCTGAAGAAAGTGAGTTGGGAAGCAGAACTATAGCAGGTGGCCCAGAGTTTTTATCATCTGAACTACGGACCCATTCATTTCTTAAGACCACAAACTTCTCATTGAGGAACACTGAGTTAAGGCATATGAATTCAACTATGTACTAATGGAGAAGGAGGTCTGAGAAAGTAAGGAAGGAAGGAAAGAGGAGAAAATAGTAATAGAATTCTGGCCAGCATTCCATCAGTGGCTCAGTACCCTGGAGTGCAGGTGAAACAGGAAACATGAATCCATTGTCACAATTCCCACAGACCTGAATGAGGTGAGACACAAAACCACACATACTGTATTTCATGGGCACCTTCAGTGATTTGAGGGTATTTACTGACTACTATTTTCATTTTGTGTGCTGACTTGAGAATTTACTTCTGCACTGAACATATAAAGCACAACGCTACTGCATTTCAACTTTCCTACTAATCATGAAAATAGATGTAAGTATATGACTTAAAGGGTCAAGGATAAAAGGAAAGTCTCCTATAGAAAGGAAATTCTCAAATAGATTGTTCCGTGATATTTTAAGTCATTAGATACCTGGATAATTATGAGATTATGCACTGCACCTAAATGACTAATGGCCCCTCCCCCCTCCTCCCTCCTTGGCAAGTTTTCCCACTAAGTAGTCAAGGTTAATGACACTGGATTAATCCTCACTCCTTCTCTGACCAAAACTGCCCACTGTACCTGGTCTCCAGGCTGGCAGCCTCTTGAAGCATCTCATCTGTGACCGTGTCTGTGCTATAGAACTCTCTGAGAGCTTGCAGCAGCTCCTCCTTTCGATGAGCAGGCAGGCTCTCGGCGTTGAGCAGGGCCCTGGCCCCAGAGCGCATCTGCCGGCGCTCTGGGTCCTCCAGCAGGCGCAAGCCCTCCTCAGAGCCAATGGGGGCCTGGAACTCCTTGGCCAGCTGCTGCTTCAAGTGGTTGTCATAGTAGTTGGAGATGGCATGGCAGGAGGTGCAGAGCAGCAACACGTCGTGGGAGTTGTGGTCCTTCATCTCGATGGGGAAGTGCTTCCGGTACTCGTGTGGGACCACGTTCTTCCTGAACAAGCCCACCCGAAGGCAGTGCTCATTAGCATGAGAACAGAACACACCTGTAGCTAGCATGGGGGCTGCTGGATTCTGATCTTGGCCTGAACATAACTGTGAAGCCTTGGGTACCACAACCCGACAGGGAGGACATAAAAACATACTACCTATTCCACTCGGCCCACCTACCTACCTATGCCCTAAGTTCCTTTAGTGAGAAAAGACTACCTGCTCTCAGGCTTCAGGGGAGGGTCAGGGGTAGGGGGAGGCTACTAAAAACCTTTGAGAAGGTTGTGCTCCCAGAAGGAAAAGTATCAGAGAAATGAAAAGAAATTCTAATGGCCTTTAACAGCTGGAAAACAGCTCTCAAAGCATGCAGCAGGTAACCTCTACTCCTGAAATTCTGGAAGCCAGGTAACCTGAAAAAGCCAATTTCTTTCATCTGAAGAATCTCCTTACTCTAAGATTATTTCCCTGGTTCATCAAAGTCCATCATTATTTCTTAAAAACTAAGCTCTCAAGAAAAACTCTTGGCAGCAACAACTACTGTCTCACTTTTCAAGGGCGGAGGGAAGAACGTGAGTTACCCCCCAGAAGCCCAGGAGAAAGCCTGTGTCTGGGCACCCCAGGCTCAACAGGCAGCTTCACCTTCACTAGAGAACGGCCTTCCCAGACTATTCCAGAGGGAGCCTCCGGTCATCCGGGTACTGCACCAACAGTCCCACAGGGCAGAAAGCCTGCGAGCCCCTCGGGGAGGCTTATGATGACAGAGAGAAAGGCAGCTCCTGAAGGAACTGCTCTCCATTCCTTGGTGAGCAAAAGGGAACCACTCTCTTTCTGGCAAGCTGTTACTGAGAAGAATACTGCATTCCAGAAACTCAGAACTGGGCTCAGGAGGGGTAGGGGCACCAGAGCAAGGTCAGGCCGAGTGGCAAAACTCTCAGGGAAACTGGGATCCACCCTCAGGACAGGTCTCGCAGCCAAGTGGGCAGACGCCAGCAAGGCCCCTGAGGGCTCTGCATGTGGCTACAAAGGCAATTCCCATGGAGACAGACAAGCCGGCAACCCACACTCACCGAATGTAGGAGTCTTTCTTGCCACACACTACACACAGGTTCTCTTTAACCATCAAGTAGTAGTCTCCTGGGGATTCAGGTCTTCCCGCAGGTTCAAACTGTAGCTTGACCACAAAAGGCTCTTCACTCACCAGCTCTTAGAGAAAAGAAGTCTTAGTTAGTATCTGCCTGCTCAGCTGTGCCCCAGAGAAGAACAACAACCTTAATTGTTCTCGGCTGTCTTGGCAAACATCACTGTTTCTGGGTCTTGAATAGTCCCGTCCCATGTGACTCAAGGTCTCTCTGCTTTCTTCTATCCATCCCTCTCCCTCATCTCACTCTCCACTCCTGCCAGTGCCCACACGAACCTAATTTACAGATCAAATATGACAGCTGAATCTCAAACCTCCAATGCCTTTGTCCAGGTACCACTGAGCTTTTCTTCGATCACAAGTGCACAGGGGCTGTCCGTCAGGAGCATGGAGGAAGCAGTTATCATAGAGCGGTGATTTTCTGCAGGGAAGGGAGAAAGAGGGCTAAACCTGAAAGCTAACTATTGGTCAAGGCATCAGTCATCTTCCCATGTTCTCTTCTCAGGACTATTCTCAACACCAGGCTATTCTCAACACCAGGGACAACAACAAAACTAAACATGGGAAGAAAGCATATTAATGCCTCCATCTGCATTGGGCTAGGAAACAGAAATAAAAATGAAGAGTTCATACTTCTAGTTTTCATATGCATGGATTGGGACATTAGGGACTAAGTTCTATTGTGAAAATAAGCAGGAACAGAGCACCAAGAAAACTGCCCTATGGAGTAATCACTGGATTAAACAAAGTAATTTACAAAGTAAATTAAAATGAAAGAACTTCAAGTTAAAGTAATGAGGGCCACGTGGGTTTACTTCTGGCTCAAACGCAACACTTGCTTCAATTTAATTATCCAATTCCTGAAGGCACTTTGCTACAGGGACCAGAGATTATTAGTCATCTTTCTGTAACACGGGCATTGGCTTAGAGCTGATGCCATTCTAAATAGTCAAATACCAAATGAACAAGAAATCAGATGACACATTTCTCCTGAAAAGTATGAGGCATTTCATGTTATTCATTTTCACAGCTATTCTGAAGCAAGCAGGAATAATTAATTTTACCTTCATTTATAACTGGAGAAAGTACAGGTCTAAGGTCATCAGGGTCAGTGAGAAAGCTAAGTTAAGCTCTCCTCATTTCCACCCCAACTGCCCAACAATGAAGAAGTAAAAAGGGTCCTAGCCGGTTTGGCTCAGTGGATAGAGTATCAGCCGGCAGACCAAAGGGTCCCAGGTTTGATTCCGGTCAAGGGCACATACTTTGATTGCAGGCTCCTCCCCACCCCAGGCCCTGGTCGGGGCGCATGCAGGAGGCAACCAATCGATGTGTTTCTCTCACATCGATGTTTTTCTCTGTCTTTCCCTCTCTCTTCCACTCTTCCTAAAAATCAATGGGAAAATATCCTCAGGTGAGGATTAAAAAAAAAAAAGTAAAAGGAGGAAAGTACACAAATAAATCAAAGGATAGCTCCAAATGTCCTTGAAGGGAAGGAAGAATAATAACCCATGGAGAACCTTTGCTTCCTTACCACATGCCTCCTCCTATTCCCAAGGTGAGATATCACATGTGCCTTTTGCTGGAGGCTGGGCCTCTGACACTTTACTAGACATGAAACAAGTCAATTACCTGGCAGAATAGCCCACCCCCAGGGGCTTTCTTTTATGTTTTCTGGGGTCTCTCCCTTGATGGTTGCCTGGCACCGTTACATCGACCTTAGACTTCTTATTTCCTGGTTTTTGCTGAGATTCTGTTGCTTCCCCATTAACCTCTTCTCCCAATCTGCTAATTCCTTTGCTTCGGAATGGGATGTCTACCAAATCCTGGCATTTCTCCAAAACTTTTCTCCAGCCAATGAGGTCATCATTTTCTTCTAAAGTTGGATTCCTAGAGAAAGGGTATCCAAGAAGATGGAGAAAGAGAGCCACTGAAATCTGGGCATCCCTGGCAGCATAAATTACCTGAAGAGAAAAGTCAGAGATCAGTGGAATCTAGAAGGCAAACCAGAGAGAGCAACTTCAAAGTCATCACAAAGATATAAACAATTTTCAGGTCTAATTCACGATGTATGATAACCTAGACATCTTCTTAAATTTTTATTATGAAAAACGTAAAACTATACAAAAGCAAATCAAATACTGTAATGAATCCTCATGTTCCCTATGTTTAAACGAAAATAGTTAAAATAATGACTTACTTTAAATGCTTGAAAATTCCAATCTATGTAAATCAGTGAGGTTTCTTTCTGTTTGCATAATTTTATTGTATCTGCTACCAAACCCACTGGACAGATTTTTTTTCAAATCTGGAGTAGGGTAGTTACCACAGGTATGACAACTAGTACACGAACTTCACTTTGGGGATAGTCTCATCTAGAACAGCTGAGACCAACATTCGTTAAGAGGCCTGTGTGACTGCCCTAGCTAGTTTGGCTCAGTGGATAGAGCGTTGGCCTGTGGACTGAAGGGTCCTGGGTTTGATTCGGTCAAGGGCACATGCCAGGTTGCGGGCTCAATCCCCAGAAGGGGGTGTACAGGAGGCAGCCGATCAATGATTTTCTCTCATCGTTGATGTTTCTATCTCTCTCTCCCTCTCCTTTCCTCTCTGAAATCAATAAAAATATATATTTTTTAAAAATCACAAAGCCCATTTCTGGAATTTATTTATTTAATAATGAGAAGTCATTCTCCCAAGCAACTGGTTGCAAGCAAGCTGATCATAAATAAAAGTAGTCAAAGGTATAATTAATTGCTTTTCTCAAAAAGGCTATAAAGACTTTAAGATTACTTTATTATTTTTTAAAATATATTTTTATTGATTTCAGAGAGGAAAGGAGAGGGAGATAGAAACATCAATGATGAAAGGGAATCATTGATTGGCTGCCTCCTGCACACCCCCCTGGAAATCAAGCCCCCAACCTGGGCATGTACCCTGACTGGAATCAAACCGTGACCTCCTGGTTAATAGGTCGACGCTCAACCACTGATCCACACCGGCTGGGCTAAGATTACTTTAATTCACCGTAATAACCAAGCCAGTCATGGACACGAACAACAGTGTGGTAATTGCAGTGGAGAAGAGGGTGGGTGGAGGTGGAAGAGGGTTTGGGGGGATAAATGATGATGGGGGAGGTTTAAAAATTAAATTTAAAAAGCATACACACAAAAGTAAGCCTGGTAAATGGAACTATTAGTATGGATTTTTTAAATGCTTAATAAAATTTCCACCTAGACCCAACAATCTACGTATCTATCAGCAAGTTGTCTCCCACCGGAAAAGAGTGTACTTCAATGTGAAAAGTTCAGAGTGCTTTTTAACAAATTATTTTTCAAGTGATAAAAAAAACCAAGGCACTTGCAACAAATGGTGCTGGAACAACTGGACATCCACATGCAAAAGAATAAAGTTGGACCCCTACCTCATATCACACAAAAATTAACTCAAAATGGATCATAAACCTAAGTGTAAGAGCTAAAACATAAGACTCTTAGAAGAAAACAGAGGAGCAAATGATTATGACTATGAGTTAGGTAATGATTTCTTAGATATGAAACCAAAAGTATGAATAATTTTTTTAAAAAACTGACCCCATCAAAATTAAAATCTTTTGTGCACCCTGGCTGGTTTGGCTCAGTGGATAGAGCGTTGGCCTGCGGACCAAAGGGTCCCAGGTTCGATTCTGGTCAAGGGCACATGCCTGGGTCGTGGCCTCGATCCCCACTAGGGGGCGTGCAGGAGGTGGCCATCCATGATTCTTATCAATGATGTTTCTACCTCTCTCCCTTCCTCTCCCTTCCCCTCTGAAATCAATAAAAATCTATTATAAAAAAAACAACAACAATTTTTGTGCTTCAAACAACTCCACCAAACTTAGCTGTTGGGGGAGGAGAGAGGGGAGAGTGACTGCTAATGGGTATGGTGTTTCTTTTTGGGGAGCTGAAAATGTTCTAAAATTAGATTGTGATGATGGTTGCATAACTCTGTAAATATACTAAAATTCATTTACTTGTACATTTTAAATGGGTGAATTTTATTGTATGTGAACTATGTTTCAGTAAAACTATTATACTTGATCTTAGTCAAAAGGCCGAGAGACAATTCAGTAAAACTATTATACTTTATCTTAGTCAAAAGGCCGAGAGACAATTCAGTAAAACTCTTAAGAGGAAGGAAGCAAAGAAGGAATGAATGAACAAATGAAGGCACAAAGAAGTAACTTACTCAGGGTCACAGCAAATCAGAAATGGCTGTAGAAACCAATTTCACATAATTTGATTCCTAGAACTCTCACAGGATAATATTAACCTTAAGATACTAATTATTGCTAACTCCATTAACAACATTTTGGAAGGATGAACAAGTGGTAACTGACTTGGCCACCAAGAGAAGGCTGAAACCTAGACCTATAATAGGGGGTAGAAGCCAAAAATTAAAAATCAAATTAATTTGAGCCACAAAGAATGGCAAAGCATAAGGAATGGGAGGCAGCAGTTGTCTGTGAAAGCAAGGATACACGTAGGGGTGAAAACAGAAGGATAAGGTGAAAGTCTCCATAAAGCACACTTAAACCCTAGACCTCTTTATACCACAAGGCCAATTACTCCTTCTCTAACCCAAAAGAGTAAAAGTTTGTAAAACCAAAACTAAAATGGAGTCATTTATGTCAGGGACAAAATGGAACGGGCCAAAGCAGGCACATTAAAGAAAACAAAACTTCACCCAACATAAATTGCAGGAATATTTATAGCTCTCCTCAGAAATTAGCAGAGGACACCAACCAATACCCAAACACCAAGTCTGTTCATACCATCTTTGGACTTCCTTGTTCCTGTCTCAGCTCCTGGATCCAAATAAGGAAGAAGACCACTAGACAACCAATAAGCTGAAAAAGCCAAATAACTTCCGCATTTACCATCGTCTGTGAGCAACTCAGAACTCATTGCTCCTGTAGCCTTGAATTTCCCGGCTTGCAAGTTGAAACCCTTACAATAAACTCATCTTGCCCTAACTGGGTTGGCTCAGTGGATAGAGCGTAGGCCTGCGGACTGAAGAGTCCCAGGTTTGATTCCAGTCAAGGGCATGTACCTTGGTTGGGGGAACATCCCCAGTAGGGGGTGTGCAGGAGGCAGCTGGTCGATGTTTTTCTCTCATAGATGTTTCTAACTCTCTATCCCTTTCCCTTCCTCTATGTGAAAAATCAATAAAATATATTATAAATAAATAAACTCATCTTGTTTTATTCAATGTGTAGAATTTGGCTTTTGACAAGTTTAAGTCATATAATGGCTAAATCACAGAGGATCTGGACCTAGTAAAACCAGGCATGGTGGAGGTTGGAGGCAAAATGTCACCTGAAAAAGAGGGGATTCCGGGAAAGTCTAGGTACTGAATGGTAAGACTAGCAGCACCTTTCCCTCACTCAGCCATCAGAATATAGGCTGTGGGGCTTATACCTCTTGAGCAGAAGACTAGAAGATTCATCTATGGAGAAACTGAGTAGACTGAGAGGAAAGACTTACAGTTACTGACATTTGACTGTAACTGATAATGTTATCTAATGTTTTATTATCTATAGTTACTGATAATAAAACCCACTAGTTCAAAAGCCCTGGCCATATGTGCTATGGTCTCAATCCATTTTTTTAAATGTCAAAATTAAAAATTATTTTCTGCATTTCCTAAAATTTCATTAAGCGTTATTTTAGACCAATTATCTTGGTTTCATCAGACAAGGAATCTATTTTAAGGCACTTCTGCCCAATACTTATATTTGAGGATTAGAACTTTAACAACAATTATACTTCACAACCAGTGTCTCTTCCATTCTTCAAGCACTCTGATAAGAAGTACCTGGTCCTCCGTAAGATTCTCAGCATCCCAGTTGCTGCAACGAAGTACAAGGGACTTGTCAAGGGGAAAGTTCAAAACAGTCTCAGCAAGTGATTTCAGGCTAAGCCCATTACAGAGCAAATTGTTCCTACAAAAAAATAAATAAAATCATGTATCAAAAATGGAGAAAGAAAAAGAACAGGCAAATAAAAGAAACATAAATAGCTAATAAACAGATGACAGGTATTCAATTTCACTAGACATCAAGTAAGATAAAATCATACAATTTTTTTTATTTTTATTTTTATTTTTTTAAAATATATTTTATTGATTTTTTACAGAGAGGAAGGGAGAGAGATAGTCAGAAACATCGATGAGAGAGAAACATCGATCAGCTGCCTCCCGCACATCTCCCACTGGGGATGTGCCCGCAACCCAGGTACATGCCCTTGACCGGAATCGAACCTGGGACCTTTCAGTCCGCAGGCCGACGCTCTATCCACCGAGCCAAACCGGTTTCGGCAAATCATACAATTTTTAAACTAGATTGCAAAGATTTATTTAAAATAACTATATCTAGTATTGGTGGAGCATGAAGAATCAGACAGTTTAACCTAACATTTGTGAACTTCGCATTTTTTACAACCTTTATGAAAAACAGTTTAACAATAAATAGTGATCAAAATGTTGAACATGAAAATTCTGATTCAATAATTCCATTTCTAGAAATTCAGCCTGAGGACAAATGTACATGTAATAATCTTCATTACAGCACTATTTACTGTAGCAAAGAATCGGGAACAACCTAAATGCCCATCAATGGAAGGCTGGTTAAATATCCATGCAATTAAATTATATACAGCTATTACAAATAAGAATGTGGATCGCGCTGAAACCGGTTTGGCTCAGTGGATAGAGCGTCGGCCTGCGGACTGAAAGGTCCCAGGTTCGATTCCGGTCAAGGGCATGTACCTGGGTTGCGGGCATATCCCCAGTAGGAGATGTGCAGGAGGCAGCTGATCGATGTTTCTCTCTCATCGATGTTTCTAACTCTCTATCTCTCTCCCTTCCTGTCTGTAAAAAATCAATAAAATATATATTTAAAAAAAAAAAAAGAATGTGGATCTATATTGATGTGAAAAGATGTCCATGATACATTAGTTAAGTAAAAAGAGACTGTGAAGGAAAACATATGCTATGGTCCCTTTATGTTAACATATATACTACATAATAAATGTGTGTATGTGTTTCTAGGTATGTGATCACAGAGAGAGGAAACACAAAGAGATAACTAGAAACAAATCAATCAAATGTGAGTGATATCTCTTGTTGTGAGACTTGGAATGATTATATATCTTCTTCATATTTTTCTATGTTTGAGTTGGCTACTGTTCAGGTATAACTTTTACAAATTTGAAAAAATGATAAGGCTATTTTCATCGAGGGATAGAATCTATATATATATAAAAGCCTAAGTGACCGTTATGACCGAACGACTGGAACAACCAGAACCACTGGTTGACCAGTTGCTATGATGCACACTGACCACCAGGGGGCAGACCCTCATCACAGGAGCTGCCCCCTTGTGGTCAGTGCACTTCCATAGCCAACCTCTAGCTGCCCCTCCCCCCGGCCAGCCAACCTCCCGCTGCCCCTTCCCCTGGCCGACTAGCCCCCCCCGATAGGCCTCAGTCGCCTGCCAGGCTAAGGGACCCCATCTGTGCATGAATTCATGCACTGGGCCTCTAGTATACAATAAAATTAAGTATCCTTTCTGCTCTCCAAACACTTTCTGGTTAAAATAGCTACGGGGTGATGAAAAAATTAACGTGTGCAAGAATAAGAGATTCCAAATAAGAGTTAACTGTGAAATTAAGAACATATTGGTCTACAAAAGTGAAGCTGGAGATTCCAAATGGCTGCAGAGTAAGTGAAAGCTACACTGACATGCTCCCAGGACCAAACTGGAATTATAACTAAAATACAGAAAAACCTTCTTAAATAATCCACTGAAGACTAGCTGAAGTGAATGCTGATAACCAAGGATGGAAAGTGGAGACCACATAGAAACTGGTAGTAAATGTGGAGGCACAAAAGGGCTGGCCAGGCTCCCACAGACTGAAGCTGAAGTTCTGGAGGGATATCTCAGCTGTGGGGCATTTCCACTGAAAACTCTGGGGTCTAAACCCCAAGCTGGGTTCCCCAGCCCAGAGCACCAGAACTGAGAAAGGTGCCCACATGACATCTGGCTGTGAAAAGCAGTAGGGTTTCTGTCTGTCAGGGAGAGATGGCTGGAAATGCAAGCACACTCTTAAAGGGCCAACACACAAATTTTTGTGTGCAGCCACTCACCTTGGGCTCCAGCACAGGGAGGACAGAGTGGACTGGAGCTGTGTGAGCAGAAGCCAGGGTTGGGAGTTCTGGGGTTAGAGTTCAGAAGGCAGACACCCCAAATTCCTGTGCTGAATCATTCCCTCATATAGCAGAGGACATCTTTCTCTGGCAGATCTTTAACATTCAGGCTGCTTTTGCCTGGGGGGAGGAGTGTTTTGAAATTGCCCCACCCTATTAGAAAACCCCCTGCTCCACCCTGTGGAGTTTCTGAGCCCATTAAGAGACTGAGAATAACAATCTGCATACAGGCAGAAGCAATTGACCCACCCTGTTGGAAAACCTGTCACCCCACCTGTGGCTGATAGCCTGAGGTTAATCAAGACTAAATAACAATCAGACTGTAGGCAGAAGCTGGTCTCTGGAGGCTTTAAGTCTTTGCCTGATCTAATTCTTGGCCTGGGGCTAGAAAAAGCAGACCATGGTGCACATCTTATTTCTTTCCAAAGGCACCCAGCCCTAGCAGAGGGAGCCATAAGCTGTGGATTGCTGATAGCTCCAAACAGGATGCTCAGGGCCAGTCACAAACAGCATCTGACATTGTCCTGCATTAGAGATTGGAAGTTACAGCAGATCTATCTAATGCATAAACACAAACCCAAATAGGCAGGAAAAATGGGAAGACAAGAAAACAAGCCCAAATGAAAGAACAAGAGAATTCTCCAGAAGAGCTGAATGAAATGGAGATAATAAATTTATCAGATAAGAGTTCAGAATAATGATGGCAATGATGCTTAGCAGTATGAGAAAAGATATAGTAACTATGAAAAAAGAGCAGTCAGAAATAAGAATGACATAGTATTAATAAAGAACAGACTGGAAGGAATACACAGAAGATTATGGGAAGCTGAGGATCAGATCAGTGAATTATAAGGGTAGAAAAAAATATGAGAGAACCAAAATGAAAAACAGGAAAAAAAAACTTAAGGGAGCTATGGGACAATATGAAATGTAATAATATTCTCATCATAGGAGTACCGAGAGGAAGAAAGTGAGCAAGCGATAGACTAGAGAATGTATTTGAAGAAATAATGGCAGGAAGCTCCCTAACCTGGTGAGGGAAAAAGTCACACAAGTTCAAGAGGCACAGAGAGCCCCAAGCAAGAGGAACCCAAATAGGCCCACACCCAGATACATCATAATTAAAATGCTAAAATTAAAGACAAAGAGAGACTCTTACAAGAGAAAAGCAAGCTGTTACCTACAAAGGAGTTCCCATAAGACTGTCAGCTGATTTCTCATCAGACACTCTACAGGCCAGAAGGGAATGGTGTGAAGTATTCAAGGTAATGAAAAGCCAGATTACTGTATTTAGCAAGGCTATCATTCAAATTAGATGGTGAAATAAAGAGCTTCCCAGACCAAAAAAAAAAAAAAAAGGCTAACGGGGTTTATCAACACCAAACCAGCACTGCAAGAAATGCTAAAGGGACTGCAGTATTGAGAAGAAATAAAGAGAAACATAGGCATAAAGAATTAAAATGGCAATAAATAGGTACCTATCAATAATGGATTAAATTCTCCAATCAAAAGATATGGTAGCTGAATGAATATGAAAACATTGCCGGGGTCCAACCCCAGCGGGTCCAGGGGTCCCTAAAGGTGTGGACGGAGTCGGCGAAGAAGGAATGACATGAAGACAGCGTTCAGTTGATCAGCAGCCTATCCAGGATCTCTAGCCAGGATCTTCAGCCAAGTTCTGGTCTGGATCTCCAGCGAAGTTCTGCTTAGGATCTCCAGCCAGGTTCTGTGTCCATGTTCTCTTGCTAGGTTCTCCAGCCAGGTTCTGTCCAGGGTCTCCAGCCAGGTTCAGTCACCAGGTTCTAGTCAGGTTCTCTTGCCAATTTCTGTAGTCAGGTTCAGTCCAGGATCTTTTGCCATGTTCTCTCGCTAGGTTCTGTCTCTAGGTTCTGAGGCCAGTTTCTGTCCAGGATCTTTTGCCATGTTCTCTCCAGCGAAATTCTTCTGTCTCTAGAGAACATTCTGTGTAGGTTCTGTGCCTAGGTTCCGTCTCTCCTAGTTCTGTGTTCTAAGTTCTGTATTCTAAGTTCTGTGTGTAGGTTCTGTCTTCTCTGGTTCCGTATTCTAAGTTCTGTCTCTAGCTGTCTTATTACAACTGTATTTATACCAGTTGATTCAATCCTATCAATCTCTATTACAAAGGTTAGGGCGTTTCTTATCTCCATTCCAGGGAGTAAAGATTATGTAGCTTAAGCATGATTGTTCGTAGTTAAAGTGATTAATTACCCACCTGGCACTTAGTTAAGAGGTTTTATTCCCTCCCTCACTTCTGGGGAAAATCCCTACCTGGGGAAACAACCTTTCTCAGAGAGGAGACCTTGGTTAAAACACATAGTGCCAAGAAGGTTAGCAAACATTTTAAGAACAGTATGCCATATATGCCAGGTCCCTTGAAACAGCAAGCATGGACCGGCTCCCGGCAAAACATGACCCAAGTATATGCTGTCTACAAGAGACCTACCTCAGAACAAAAGACTCACACAGGATGAGAATGAAGGGATGGGAAAAATTTTTCCCTGCAAATGGAAATGAAAAAAAAAAACCTGGGGTAGCAAAACTAATATAAGGCAAAATAGACTTCAAATGAAGGCCATCACAAGAGACAATAAAGGTCACCACATAATAATAAAGGGATCAATCCAACAAGAGGATATAACCCTGGTAAGCATATAGAGTACGTACCCAATATAGGAGCACCTAAATATATAAAAAAGCTTTTAGAGGACTTTAAGGGAGAGATTGACAGCAATACAATTATAGTAGGGGACTTTAACACCCTGCTGACTTCACTGGATAGCTCTTCCAGACAAAAAATTAACAAGGAAACAGTGACTAGATGAGTGGATAAAAAAGCTGTGATACATTTACACAATGTAAAATACATACTACACAGCTGTAAAAAAGAAAGAACTCTTACATTTGCAACAGCATAGATGGGCCTGGAAAGTATTATGCTAAGTGAAATAAGCCAGTCAGAGAATAAGTATTGCATTATCTCACTCATATGTGGAATCTAATGAACAAAATAAATTGATGAACAAACTAGATCCACAGACACAGAAGCATTGAAACAGACTGTTGAATTTCAAAGGGAAGGCAAGCGTAGGTGGGTGTGTGGGAAGAGAATAACCAAAGAACTTGTATGCATAACCCATGAACACAGACAATAGGGTGGTGAAGGCCTGAGGTGGAGAGCAGGGACAGGCTAGAAGGGGTCAATGCAGGATAAAGGGGACGTGTGTAATACTTTCAACAATAAAGATTAAAATAACAACAGACCCCACAGAAATACAAATGATTGTTAAACAATACTATGGATAACTCTACTCCAACAAATTAGACAACCTGGGGGAAATGGACATATTCCTAGAAAAATACAACATTCCAAAACTTGATCAGGAAGAATCTAAAAATCTCAACAGGCCAATAACTGTGGAAGAAATTGAAGCAGTCATCAAAAGGCTTCCAGCTAACAAAAGCCCAGGACCAGACGGCTTCACAGGGAAGTTTTATCAAACATTCAAGGAAGAACTAAAACCTATCCTCCTCAGACTACTACAAAAAATCCAAGGGAAGGAACACTTCCAAGCTCATTCTATGAAGCCAGCATCACCCTAATACCAAAACCAGGTAAAGACAACACAATGAAAGAGAATTACAGGCCAATATCCCTCATGAACACAGATGCCAAAATCCTCAACAAAATCTTAGCAAATCGGATCCAGCAGTACATCAGAAAGATCATACACCATGACCAAGTAGGATTTATCCCAGGGATGCAAGGATGGTACAATATCCGCAAATCAATAAACGTGATACATCACATAAACAAATTGAAAGAAAAAAACCACATAGTCATATCAATTGATGCAGAAAAAGCATTTGACAAAATCCAACACCCATTTTTGATAAAAACTCTCAGCAAGGTGGGAATAGAAGGATCATATCTCAACATAATAAAAGCCATATATGACAAACCCACAGCCAACATCATACTCAATGGACAAAAACTAAAACCATTTCCCCTAAGAACAGGAACAAGACAGGGATGCCCACTCTCACCACTCCTGTTCGATACAGTACTGGAAGTATTAGCCATTGCAATTAGACAAGAAGAAAAAATAAAAGGCATCCAAATTGGAAAAGAAGAAGTAAAACTGTCCTTATTTGCAGATGACATGATATTATACATAAAAAACCCTAAAGACTCCATCAAAAAACTATTAGACTTAATAAATGAATTCGGCAATGTAGCAGGATACAAAATTAACGCCAAGAAATCTATGGCATTTCTATACACCAATAGTGAACTTACAGAAAGAGAGACTAAAAAAAATCCCATTTACCATTGCACAAAAAAACAAAACAAAAAAAAACAAGATTAAAATAAAAAGTGGAACTGGATTTCTGGTTACCAAGTGTGAGACTAGAAATTTTAGAGCAGGAAGCTTGGAGGTGGAGGTTCACGTCAGTGTTACAACATGCAGGATTGCTTCAGGTACTGTAGGAAATGAAATCATATTGATGAAGAAAAGAAAGTCTTTCCTTAAAAAGCAAGCAATAAATTAATGGATTTCATCACCCACAAAAGAAGTACTGACTAAAAAATATAAAAAGGTCCAGACACACTTAGGTAAAATGCATAAGGTCTTGGTTCATTAATGGAATTGAAGGATTTGGAGGAGACATAAAACTTTCTTCTGTTTTATTAGAAATTCTAAAGGTAATAAATGCTTATTTGTAGGGAGTGGCTATAGGGTCAAGCCTTGGACTGACCTGTGGCAGAGCCACATACAAGTCCCAGCTTGGAGGGCAGAGCTCTCCTAGCACAATTAAGCTTGATCTTATAGTCCTCCCTTGTTCCTAGGTAGCTAATGGGTTATGGGAGGTGCAGCAAGTACTGCCAAAAAAAGGTTTGAGTAACGAAATAGATTTGAAACTCGAAAGAACATTGTAAACATGTTGACCACTCCCCTTGTTTTGCTTTGTGTGATCTGACTATAAAATAAAGCTTCGGCTTACAGGCTGGGTCACTGTTTCCTCATCCAGGCACAGTAATCCTACATAGCCCCAACTGTATTCTCTTTGCTGAACTCCTGGGCTCCTTTGCCCATAATTCTTAAAATCATTTCCCTCATTGAAAGGACAGTACTTAATTTTTAGTTACTTAATTCCATTTAGGTCATTAGCTGTGGGAAACCACCTATTGTCTTCACTAGCAGAGAGGTGTAGACAGAGAACCCGGAAGGCTGGTGACCTTTGAAGCCCTAGCAAAGGTCAGAGCTGTGCACCACCTCTGTTAATCCAGATAATGGTAGCTGAAGCAACCTCCCCACCTTTAATCATGTAAATCCTTATTGATAAGAATAAGTCTGTGTGTCGCTGGAACCGCCCTGCCTAAGTAAGGGATATACTATGGGTGGATCCCGAACCAAATAAAAGCTTGGTGAGGGGAGCGGAAGTGGGTCGCTGTTGAGGTGTGGCGTCGGGCTGGAGTGCCTCTCCGCAGCCTCTTCCGAAGGTGCTTCCTAGCTCGAGGGCGTTGGCGGGGCGCCTACCAGCCCAGAGCAGCCCAGGACTTGGAGGACATCTGTGTGGCCCCGAATGCCGTGGCAGCCAGAGGATGAATGAGCAGCAGGCATGAGTGGCTGAGAACGCTGGACGTCCCTGCAGGCCTTGGCTCAGTCACTTCCGTCTCTGCGGGTGCAGCTGGGAAGCACCATGAGCACGAGGAAGCGTCGAGGAGGGACAGCAAATTCCAGACAAGCCCAGAAGCGAGCTCGGGAAGCAGCCCCCACCCCGGTGATGGCCTTGGAAACAGAACCCATAGAGCTCGTAGAAAGCGCTGGAGATGAAATAGTGGACCTCACCTGTGAGTCTTTGGAGCCCGTGGTCGTCGACCTGACGCACAACGACTCTGTAGTGATCATTGATGAAAGGAGGCGGCCCAGGAGGAACACTAGGAGGCAGCGCCAGGACCACGCTGACAGCTGTGTGGTGAGCAGCGATGACGAGGAGCTGAGCAGGGACAGGGACGTGTATGTGACCACGCACACTCCCAGAAACGCCAGGGAAGAGACATCGCCGGGGCTCAGGCCCTCTGGCACGGTCAGTTGTCCGATCTGCATGGATGGATACTCAGAGATTGTGCAGAATGGGCGTGTCATTGTCTCTACAGAGTGTGGCCACGTCTTCTGCAGCCAGTGCCTCCGAGATTCCCTCGAGAATGCGAACACTTGCCCGACCTGCAGGAAGAAGATGAGCCACAAACGCTATCACCCCATTTACATCTGATGCGCTGCGAGCTGCCTCGGAGAAGGACGGACAGTGCCATCCGCGCGGGCTCATGCGTCCTTCGTGGGTTCTCTGCCTCCAATTTCCTGAGCTCAAAAGACTTTTAAACCAAGGCCTGATATGTAGACTGCTCCTTATTTCCAGCCCTCTGAGGTCCTCTCGTTACCTCCAGCTTGATGCCTCAGCCGGAGCCACAGCCCTGCCGGCCGGGTGCGGCCTGCTCCCCTGGCAGCCTGGTTCCAGGGCAGGTGAGGAGCTGAGCGCCTTCAAGTTGAGAAGCAGGTTCCAGCCTCTCCGGGACTGCACGTTTGCCAAGAAGCTCCCCCGCACAGGAGGTGTGCGCAGCTTCCCCCACAGTGTTGTTGGGGAGCCAGCCCTGGTCAGGGTGTGAGCCAGTCCACCCAGCTCCTGCGGGCATGCTACCTCACCCGGCCTCTGCCTGCACAGTGACCGAGCTGACAGCCCCGGAGGACCAACCACTGGGCTCCTTCCTGACCTTAGCAGTGACAGGCAGGGATTTCTGCAGGGCCATGCCCAGGCCTCTGAGGATGAAACGTGCAATAAAGCCCGTCCACCGCCGCCTCCTCGCAGCCCAGGAGACGCAGCACCGTGAGTGTCCCTTAGGCCCCGCCCTGTTCTGTCACCCCGTTCTCAGGAACTGACCAGGCCCCAGAATTCCCCTCCTGGCACAGGCCAGGCACGGTACACAGGGCAGGCCTGTACTCGGTGTCCGCTCCTTTCTGATAAAATCTGTCCTCGTCACCATATGCCCGCTGGTCCTCAGTCCCCGCTGCCCACGGTCTCCTCAAGTATGGACACCGGAAGGCAGTGCAGTATTTGTGGCCTTATCAGCCCATGTCCAGCTGTTGCCCAAGCCGCAGCCACCCCGTGTCTCAGAGCGTGGCCCACCTGACGAGCTGGGTCCTACCTTGGCCTTCTCACCACCCCACCAACCCACCATTTCAGAAGCTGGTCCTCTGGTCATCTGGACTGTGGCCCTCTGGAGTTCTGGTTGGCAAAGTTTGGTGGCCTCTCCTCACCAAGGGGCAGATAACACCCCCTGCCCACTCTGCAGGTGTAGGAGCCTCTGGTTTCCAGGTGGCAGCACTGCTCCTAACGCACAGGGCTGAGGGGTGACAGGAGTGCCAGCCTACCCCACCTCCCCACCCTCCCCACAGGCCTCAAGCCAGACAGCAGCCTCTGCATGTGAAGCATCAGCCGGGGGAGAGGCCCTAGCTTTGCAGCAATAACTGGCCTTCAGTTCCCTGGAAGGAGCGGGGACTTGGCACAGTTCACTTTAACGGGGCTGAAGGAGTGTCCCTCTTCTGTGTAAGTTTTATTCTTCATTCTGCCTTTGTAGCTGTTTGGCTCACTTCCAATTAGTCAGTTTGAATGAAAGGAATAATGTTCTGCTTGGAGGTGAGGAGGCAGGACATGGTTCTCACGGGGGCTGTGCCGTGTCTGCCCTCCGACTGGACGTGGTTGCCATCGCGTTTCTTCCGGGCTGCATGGGAGCGTCTCCTGTGACCTGACATTACAGCCTCCAGGAGCCAGGATGACCACGCAGCCCAAGCCCTGCTTTACATTTTAGGACAAACGATTGATCATGAAAGCTGTGCTTCTACATTAAATTGTGGGGGTGTTAAGTTTCTACTGTCAGAAACTACAAAATAGGAAAAGGTCGATATGAAAACCCCTCCTTCTCAGTGTACATAATCCAAATCTTTCTTTGTTACGTTTAAACTTTACCCATAATGTCAGTCTTTTTCGGACCCCTGCTGGTGTTACAGATGGAAATAAAACCAGGACTTTGAACCAGGAAAAAAAAAAAAAAAAAAAAAAGCTTGGTGAGGCCTGAGCACCAGTGGAAGTCCTTCCTCTTGAGTTGGACTTATCCGCCTGGCCCCCAATATTCCCAAATTATATCTTGTCTCTTCTCTTTCATTTGTGTGCGGCTCCTCTTCCAGATCCTGAACCCTGAACCATGCGGGGCCGTGGGGGGAAACATTTACCACAATTAACCTTTTTAAAATGTCATATTTGGTGCCCGGGTTGGTGTGCTCAGTTCGTTGGAGTGTCATCCCATATATCAAAAGGTCCTTTGATCCCTGGTTGGGCTCATGCAGGAGGCAACTGATTGATTTTCCTCTCACATCAATATTTTTTTCTCTCTCCATCCCTTCCTCTCTCTAAAATCTATAAAAATAAAAATAAGAATTTCATATTTGGGAAGGTTTCACATTGAATTAAAAACAAGATGCCACCTTTGCCACTTCAAAATTTCACTAGGAAAGATTCCAAAATCATACACAACAATCTCCATAATAAATAATCTTCAGTTAACATAGAATAAAAATATAAAATATGAAGAGCATGAAGAAAAGAAGAATTTTTTTAAAAGACTCCTCCCTGAAGTCAATGAAAGTAACAACTACTTATGGCAAACATCAGAAGCAACCTATAGCCAACAGTGCTAAGTATAATTCTTGCATTAAAATGTCAGATTTCTTATACTACAGTGTCAGAAAGTTTTGTTTACCACTAAGGTGCTTAATAATACAATAATCTTTACATTTTAATAAAATTTCATGAAAATTTAAAGGTCTGATAAACGCTTCACTTTTATTTCTAGAAAAGTTCCTGGTCATATGCAGCTTTGGCCAAATTCTTATTCTGACACTTGGCCATTCTGCATTTAGCCAAACTAGTTTCTATATATTCATAATGAGGACTATAATTGCATAGAAAGAGATCTGGAAAAACAAATCAATCAGATGGTGATGACAGTGACAGTAATAGTTAAAATTTACACAGCACTCTCTATATTTCAAATACTATTTCTAAGTTCTTCCCATAGTTTAACTCATTCAATACATCAGTTCTTTAAGGTGGGAACATTATTATTTCTACTTCACAGATGAGGGGACAGAGGAATGAATAGTGAGGTTCACTAACTTGCCAAAGGCCAAACAGCTGGTAAATGGCAGAGCAGAGGCTCCCATCCACACACGCTGCTCTGCTTAGCCACTTGTACACATTGCCTCTAACTACAGAGCAACAGTGGGCACATCCTGAGAGGTGGTGCCAAAGGGAGGAGGGCCCGATGAAAGGAGGCTTCTGCAATTATATTCCAAATACTTTTACAGAGTTCAACATTTTTTATAGTAAATATTTTTTTTTTAATATTTTTATTGATTTTTTACAGAGAGGAAGGGAGAGAGATAGAGAGTTAGAAACATCAATGAGAGAGAAACATCGATCAGCTGCCTCCTGCACATCCCCCACTGAAGATGTGCCCACAACTCAGGTACATGCCCTTGACCGGAATCGAACCTGGGACCCTTCAGTCCGCAGGCCGACGCTCTATCCACTGAGCCAAACCGGTTTTGGCTATAGTAAATATTTTAATATAGTACTTGAAAAAATTGATACTTATTTATGAGTTTTATTTACATAAGCCAAACTACAGAGCTAAAATAACATTTCATCCTATATAATAAAGAGCTAATATGCTAATTAGACTGAACAGCTGAACGACTGTCCGGACGACCTTCTGAATGAAGCCCAGGCTGAGAGGGCCGGCTGGGGCTGCGAGGGCTGGCCGAAGCTGTGAGCAGCTGCAAGGGCCGGCCGAGGATGCGAGGGCCAGCCGAGGCAGCCAGGGCTGCGAGGGCCGAGCCCCTTGCACGAATTTTGTGCATCAGGCCTCTAGTTTTCTAATAAAATATTATGATTAGCATAGATTTTAATCAGGCCTTTTCTTAGTTGATTAAATCCTCCAAACTTTTTTTTTAAATCTATTTTTACTGATTTTATTTTTTTAAATATATTTTATTGATTTTTTACAGAGAGGAAGGGAGAGGAATAGAGAGTTAGAAACATTGATGAGAGAGAAACATCAATCAGCTGCCTCCTACACACTCCCACTGGGGATGTGCCCGCAACCAAGGTACATGCCCTTGACCGGAATTGAACCTGGGACCCTTCAGTCCGCAGGCCGACATTCCATCCGCTGAGCCAAACCAGTTAGGCTATTTTTATTGATTTTAGAGAGGAAGGAAGAGGGAGAGAAAAATAGAAATATCAATGATGAGAGAGAATCACAGATAGGCTGCCTCCTGCATGCCATCCACTGGGGATCAAGCCCGCAACCGGAATTGAATCCTTGTGTCCTTGACTGGAATTGAACCCAGGACCCTTCAGTCTGCAGGCCGATGCTCTATCCACTGAGCAAAACCAGCTAGGGCCTCCAAACTTTAATGTCAGTTTCATTTGAGGCAAGGAGAGAGGCTGTTTCAGTCCATATTATTAAAAGGAGGACTTGTATATACATACATGAAAAGGTTATTGCAACTCAATTTCCGTAGAAGTAGACTTCTCAGTGAAAGGGATATCTCTTTTCTTCCAAGTAAAGGATTAGAGCTACCATCATTTTGGCCTACAGCAGGTTTTCCAAACTCATGCTTCAGGATGACCCCCAGTTACAATGGGAGAGGTGGGGACTCCGGCAAATTGAATAGAGCTTGTTCATCAAAAGTGGACAGGGTCACCCAGCCAATTGTTGCCACCTAGAACTATTCACCTAGTATATTCAAATCACCTAATTTTTTCAAGAGAAATCAGAAATACACATCTTCTGCATTTAAACTAAAATTTCCTAAAAATACCAAATGGGGAAAAACAAAAAAGTAATCTGCGGCCCTCATTTATCCAGTGGGGCCATTAGTTTACGTCTTGTAGCTTAGACCAGGTGTACCGGTTAATAATGCAGATTTTGTAATCAAAGAAAACATGGTAATTTCAAAAGAAACATCAAAAGAGCTTTATTCAAAGTAATGTCCATCACGAGCTACACATTTCCCCCATCTTTCAGGTAATTTGTGGATACCGTCCCAATAGAACTTTTCTTGTTTTGAGGCAAACCATTCAGAGACCCAATTTTCCACTTCTTCATACGTTTTGAAGTGCTGTTCAGAAAGTGCGTGTGTAATCTGAAGGAGCAAGGTCTGGTGACTACAGCGGGTGGGTTAATACTTCCCAGGCAAGATCTTTTAACATGTCTTTAACTGGTTTTGAAGTGTGTGATGGTGCGTTATCATGAAGCAAAATTACTTTGCCGTGTCTTCTGGCACATTCTGGTCGTTTTATGATCAAAGCATGGTTCAAATTGATTATTTGTTGTCGGGATCGATCAGTATTAACAGTTTCATCTAGTTTTAGAAGCTCATAATACACCACACCTTCCTGATCCCACCAAATGCAGAGCATTGTCTTCTTTCCAAAGCGATTTGGCCTTGTAGTCGATGTTGATGGTTGACCTGGATCAACCCATGATTTTGTGCGTTTGGGACAAACGCTCAAAATAAATCCACTTTTCATCGCCAGTCACAATTCAATGCAAAAAAGACTTTCTTTCATGCCGATGAAGCAACATTTTACTGATGACTTTTTGGTTTTCCATTTGTCTTTCGTTCAGTTGATGTGGCACCCATTTTCCTTCCTTTAAAATCTTTCCCATTGTTTGTAAACGATCAAAAATTGTTTGCTTAGCAACATTTAATCTTTCTGCAAGTTGTTTTTGAGTTTGACATGCATCTTCATCCAATAATGCTTGTAATTGTTGGTCTTCAAACTTTTTCGGTTGACCAGGACATTATTTGTCTTTCACATCAAAATCATCACTTTTAAAGCGTTTAAACCAGTGTTCACAAGTATCCTGAGATGGAGCATATTCACCATAAGCTTCCTGAAGTATTCAGCAACACTTTTCTTCAAAACAAAGTAATGAATTAAAACTTCCTGCAAATGCTCTTTTTTTGGCACGAAATTCAACATTTTTTGTTGGGGTCCAGCCCCATCAGGTCCAGGGGTTCCCAAAGGTGTGGACAGAGTCGGTGAATAATGAAGGACACGGAGGCAGCGTTCAGTCGATCAGCATAGTTAGGTTCTCTCTTTATTGTCCTGTTACATCTGTATTTATACCATTTGATCCTATAAGCATGCCTCTATAATCACATCATGGTATGTTTTGGGTAACGTTCTATAGGTCCTTGTTTCTTATCTGACCTTTGCCAAAAATCCTGTCTCTATCTAGTTCTGTTGATTTTAATCTTGTCTAGGTTAATCTCTGTGTTCCATTACAAGGACTATTCCAAGGTCACTGCTCTACTGATAGGCTACAAGGAAGTGACTGAAGGAGATTATCCTACCCAGTAAAGGTTATGTCCTCCCAGCCCCGCTGCTTGCCTTCCCTGGGACTGCCCTGTATCGGTGGATCTCCAGGGGTATAGGCTTTGGTGCTTTCCCTCGTGGGCAGACCCCTGGGGATGTGGGCCCAACAAGTCCCAAATTTATTGCCAACAGTCTTAGTCCAAGTTCTTCATTAGTAGTACATGGTATTTCTGTAACACTAGGGGGATTTACTGATTTATTCTCTTCCTTAGTCCTGTTAATCCCTAACCTGGGGAAACAACCTTTCTCGGGGAGGTGGTCCTGTTTAAAACACATAGCGCTAAGAGGGGGAAGCAAACATATGCCATATACGCCAGGTCCCTTGAAACATAAGCTGTGCAGATGTTTCTTCCCTGCAGTGACTGTGTCAAGCAGCAAGGGTGGACCAGCTTCTGGCAATTTTTAAGCGTAAAAGTATCTATGATGTTAACACCCTCAGAAAATTTGACATATGAAGTTTTGAAGCTTGCTGTCAATACAACAAAATAGCATACATATCAAATTGCATACATATCAACATATGTGTAACGCCATCTATTGAAAAAAATTTGCATTATTAACCAGTACACCTGGTAAAGACATCTTATTAATGTTTCATTTAAAAAGACCAATTCTGCCCTAGCCAGTTTGGCTCAGTGGGTACAGCATCGGCCTGCGGACTAAAGGGTCCTGGGTTTGTTTCCAGTCAAGGGCACATCCCTGGGTTGCAGGCTCGATCCCCAGTAGTGGGCTTGCAGGAGGCAACCAATCAATGATTCTCTCTCATCATTGATGTCTCTGTCTCTCTCTCCCTCTCCCTTCCTCTCTGAAATCAATAAAAATATATTTTAAAAAGATAAAAATAAAAAGGCCAATTCTAAGAAAAATAAAAAATAAAGATAAATAAAAAGATCAATTCTGGGTAACTAAACTTTTCTCAGAAGTTGGAATATTTCCTTACAAATTTAATATGCATCTCAGAAGCCTGTAGGCTTGTGACGAATTTTAGATGCTTCATTATTGAGTCTTATTAATCTATAAACTTGCTAAAATATTTGCCCCACAGCTACAAGAATCCTAGCAGCATTCATACAAACCATACCTCTGCCTCATGACTAGGTATCGGAGGTCCAGGCACCCCTTAACAAAGAGGCCATAATCCTGCAGAAGCTTGCTGGCATCTTCCGAACATCCTACTCCAACTTTTAAAATAGTGCCATCTGCCAACATGTTCAATAATGTTTTTGGTAGTGTTTTTCCTCCACAGATCAGCTTGGGCAAGCGAACCAAGACACAGAAGCCACTTGGGGAGGCCATTTGAAGAAGCGACAGAGGATTGGCTTTCCCTTCCAAATTCACCTGCAACAGAGGAAAAAAACAGGGCCACAGTTCATACCCTAGCATACCATGTTCAAGTACAACATGAAACTGTGGCAAAAGTCTAAGAGGAACATCCTTAACTTCCCAAAGGGAGCAGTTGACTAGATTTTGGTTCAAATCTAAGAATCAGCTTATGCTAATAAATGCAATGAACTTTGTAAAGCAGCAACTTAAACAAAGGATACTGAAGGCCCAAACTCCAGAGCCTGAAATACGAGCAGTCCATAAATAGTGACCAGCTGACACAGAGGCGCCCTGGGACACACACTGGCAGAGTCATGTGAAACATACTGGTTTTAAAAGGCTAATGGGGGGGAAAAAAGGCTAAGGAGCAGAGTGCCAGATGATAAACATAACTCTTTTTATTATCCAGACTCTCTTACGTTACATGCTAGTGACTTTGACTCATTTACCTTATCATCACTGCTTCAAGATCTGATGTTTAAAAAGAGGTAGGAAATACAATGCTAGTACAAATAAGTGGTACCTGTCATAATAAATACTGGTAGCACAGAATGCTTTCTCAACATTTTATGGTCACAAATATTGGTCATAAAAGAAGAAAATATATACTGGCATAAGCTAGGATCCTTATACCTTAAGAGATGAAAATAACTACATATTAACTGATCTAGTTTTAATCTTTTTTTGTTTTGCTTTGTTTTTTAACTTTATTTTTCAATTACAGTTTACATTCAATATTATTCTGTATTGCTTGCAGGTGTGTAGTTGTTTTAAGATGTTTTATTTATTTTTAGAGAGAGAGGAAGGAAGAGGGAGAGAGGGAGCAGGAGAGGGAGAGAGAGAGAGAGAGAGAGAGAGAGAGAGAGAGAGAGAGAGAGAGAAACAATGATGTGAGAGTAAAACATCAATTGGCTGCCTCCTGCAAACCCCTTACCAGGGATCGAGCCCACAACCTGTGCATGTTCCCTGACCAGGAATTGAACCAGCAATCTTTTGGTGCACAGAACAACACACAAACAACTAACCCATACTAGCCAGGGCTCAGGTGTATAGTTTTAATCTTTTTGAGGTAATAGATAAGTTGGAGAAAATGCTTACAGCTAAAGAAGCTATTCTCAGAAATATTTACATACAAAATTCACATGAATTAAAGGTTCCTTAGTATCCAATAAATTCCAATCCTCATTTTCCAAGAGAGGAAATGTAAGCCCTATGGGTAAAGCAGTTTGCTTAATCATGGAAAGAGAATGGCAAAGTCAGGACTAGAACCTAAACTTCCCTATGTCTAGAACAGCAGTTCTCAACCAGCATTGATTTTGCACATACACACCCCACCCAGGACTTTTGGCAGTATCTGGAGAAATTGCTGGTTGTCACAACTAGGGAGAGAGTGCACTGGTATCCACTAGTTAGAGGCCAGAATGCTGCTAAACACTCTACAATGTACAGGATAGTCCCTCACAACAAAGAATCATCTCCCCAAAATGTTACCAGTGGAGAACCCTGCTCTAGGCAATGCTATCCTCTTACTACTATAGTATCAGTATGTAAGGCATTGCACCAGGCGCCATTGTGGATATAAACTATATGAGATGGAACCTGCCTTAAGGATGACAACCTTTCAGGTAGAGTACTATACAGCTCACACCCTTAGAAACCGCATGGTAAATAAACAAAGGGTTACAAGTAATCAAGGGAATGATACATCATTGTTGAGATGACCACTATCACAAAAAAGCAGCAATCAGGATCACAAAGAATTGTTGTTAAAAACAAAATTCAGAGGGAGAACCAAGATGGCGGCATAGGTTAACGCCGGAGTTTGCTGCCTTGAACAACTACTTCAAAAGTGAAACTAAAAGACAGAACAGACATCACCCCGAACCACAGGAACGCTGGCTGAGTGGAAGTCCTACAACTAGGAGGAAAGAGAAACGCATACGGACACTCAGAGGAGGCGCAGTGCTGAAGTCAAGTTCTGAGGTGCGGAGTGCGCGGAGCGGGCTGGCAGCGGAGGGCACGGTTGGCGTTTTCAATCGGGAGGGAGTCACAGACTCTGAGCTCCAGATCCGGGCGAGTCTTTAGGGACCCAGACTCAAACGGGAGAAGTGGGGCTGTCTGGCTTCGGTCGGAGCGAGTGCAGCTTTCTCTCCGAGCTTTGCAGCGGGTGCTGGGACTCAGAGAGGCAGAGCCCCTGGGGACAGGACTGAGAGCCGCCATAACTGCTCTCTCTGGCCCACCCTGTTGATCCTGTGCGACCCGCCTCACCCAAGCCCTGCACAGAGGCTTTTGCCAGATAGCCTCAGGCAAAAGCCAGATTAGCACCTCCCTAGAGAACAGAAGTTCTCTCACCGCAGACACAGCTGATTCTCATAGCCACTTGGCCTGGAGGTCAAACCCTCCCTGGTATTAGCTACAACAATCAAGGTTTATAGGACTGCGCACAAAGACCACTGGGGGGGCACCAAGGAAGCATAACAAAATGCGGAGACAAAGAAACAGGACAAAATTGTCAGTGGAAGATATAGAGTTCAGAACCACACTTTTAAGGTCTCTCAAGAACTGTTTAGAAGCCGCCAATAAACTTAATGAGATCTACAAGAAAACTAATGAGACCCTCGATCTTATATTGGGGAACCAACTAGAAATTAAGCATACACGGACTGAAATAACGAATATTATACAGACTCCCTGACAGCAGACCAGAGGAGCGCAAGAATCAAGTCAATGATTTGAAATGCGAGGAAGCAAAAAACACCCAACCGGAGGGGCGGAATGAAAAAAGAATCCAAAAATGCGAGGATAGTGTAAGGAGCCTCTGGGACAGCTTCAAGCGTACCAACATCAGAATTATAGGGGTGCCAGAAGATGAGAGAGAGCAAGATATTGAAAACCTATTTGAAGAAATAATGACAGAAAACTTCCCCCACCTGGTGAAAGAAATGGACTTACAGGTCCAAGAAGCGCGGAGAACCCCAAACAAAAGGAATCCAAAGAGGACCACACCAAGACACATCATAATTAAAATGCCAAGAGCAAAAGATAAAGAGAGAATCTTAAAAACAGCAACAGAAAGAAACTCAGTTACCTACAAGGGAATACCCATACGACTGTCAGCTGATTTCTCAACAGAAACTTTGCAGGCCAGAAGGGAGTGGCAAGAAATATTCAAAGTGATGAATACCAAGAACCTACAACCAAGATTACTTTATCCAGCAAAGCTATCATTCAGAATTGAAGGTCAGATAAAGAGCTTCACAGATAAGGAAAAGCTAAAGGAGTTCATCACCACCAAACCAGGATTATATGAAATGCTGAAAGGTATCCTTTAAGAAGAGGAAGAGGAAGAAAAAGGTAAAGATACAAATTATGAACAACAAATATGCATCTATCAACAAGTGAATCTAAGAATCAAGTGAATAAATAATCTGATGAACAGAATGAACTGGTGATTATAATAGAATCAGGGACATAGAAAGGGAATGGACTCACTATTCTTGGGGGGGAAAGGGGTGTGGGGGGTGCGGGAAGAGACTGGACAAAAATCGTGCACCTATGGATGAGGACAGTGGGTGGGGAGTGAGGGCGGAGGGTGGGGCGGGAACTGGGAGGAGGGGAGTTATGGGGGGGAAAAAAGAGGAACAAATGTAATAATCTGAACAATAAAGATTTAATTAAAAAAAAAAAAAATTCAGGAGGGCCTTAGCCCTTAACTTGAACTTCAATGCTAAGTAAAACCATGGCTTATCTCATAAAAGCCTGATGATTTCCCTGCTTAGGCACCGATTTATTGATGAGGGCTATTTCCATATCCTCAAAAGAAAGCATGCCAGTTTAATCTTTAATGTGCCTATTTCTTGGGGCTCGGACAAGGTAAAAAACTACAAGAAATTGACTATGAATCCTGTTCCATAATAATTCATCTGGATGTGGCCAAATTGCCTTTTTCATTGAGTAATTCCTTTCCTCTATAATACCAGATCCTTCTATTAAAAAGCTATAAATCTCCACTTCTAATATTTAGCCTGCTAATTTGACACAATACGCACTGCAAATTCCTAATGCTGCCTCTCTTAACATCTTTTTCATCAGTCCCCCTGTCTTAAATACATTAAGTAAATAACTAGCTAGGTGGACAGATATACAAGTTCTTGTCTTTTTAATACTGTTTCTGGATTGTGCTTAAGATCCAATATATTACAATTAAAGTTTTCCTACTAAGAATCCAAATGTTTATGATTCCAGTAGGTACGCAATTTTTTAAAAATATATTTTATTGGTTTTTTACAGAGGAAGGGAGAGGGATAGAGAGCCAGAAACCTCAACGAGAGAGAAACATCGATCAGCTGCCTCCTGCACACTCCCCTCTGGGGATGTGCCTGCAACCAAAGTAACTGCCCTTGACTGGAATCGAACCTGGGACCCTTGAGTCCACAGGCTGACGCTCTATCCACTGAGCCAAACCAGTTAGGGCTAGGTACACAATTTATACTAAGTGCATAATTGGAAAAATAATGCCTCTAGCAGAGTCAATATGGCTTAATTAATAGAAGATCTAGTGTTTTTTTTAATATATTTTATTGATTTTTCACAGAGAGGAAGGGAGAGAGATAGAAAGTTAGAAACATCGATGAGAGAGAAACATCGATCAGCTGCCTCCTGCACATCTCCCACTGGGGATGTGCCCGCAACCCAGGTACGTGCTCTTGACAGGAATCGAACCTGGGACCTTTCAGTCTGCAGGCCGACGCTCTATCCATTGAGCCAAACCGGTTTCGGCAGAAGATCTAGTTTTTATTTCTCATATGTTTACCCCTTTTGCTTTCTGACATCTTCGTGTCTCGGTATCACTTATTACTCATGGAAAACAATGAAACCCTTAATGGGAAAAGACATGACATGTTTTAATTTTATTAGCATTATTTAATTCAGTGGTCTCTGACTTTTTTTTTTTTTTTTTTTTTTTTTGGTCAACTCATAAAAAATATTTGAGCTTGGCCAGTTTGGCTAGGTGG